ACTCCAAACTGATACTTAACATGTTTAACATTAGGTATCTGAACCATAACAGAGGGATTTACATTTCAATGGTGGAAACAAAACCCATTGCACACTGCTGCCAGCTAGCGGTCGACGTTTGAATTGCACCAAAAATGAAAAAAAAAAAAAAAAAAAAAAAAAAACATGCATGTTTGCATGTAAATTCTTCCAAAAATTAGGTACACAGATTTTGAATATTGATATAATATTGCAGGAAAAAATATCACGATATATTGCCACATCGATATTTTCGATACACAGCTTTTGAATATTGATATCGCTGGGAAATATAGATATTTTCTTACATGAGTAATATTTAGCATCACTGAACCCACAAGGATTCACTGGAACTGGATGGCTGAGCGCCTTACCCAGCAAGGAGGAAGATGGGGTTTTCAGCTCCCCACACCACATTCATTCATGCACCTGTTAAAAATCAAATCTTGGTTTTAAGCAGAACCATGCGAACTATGAAGATGCATAAAGCCCCACGACCACAAGGGGGCCCCCTTGCCACTTATTTACTCCCAAAATATTTTAACATTGCTGATTTTATTGATCAATTTTAGTTTTATTTAGAAATTTAATACATTCATTAGTGATACATTTTTTTTAATCATTGAAATAAATTAGCAGGAAAGTATTTTTAAATCAATGGTTTAGTTTTGTGTCATCTACAAACATCTCTGATTTATTTGCACCATAATCTTGGAAACAACTAGGAAGGGATTTTAATCTTTTAAACAAAATTATTTTTTTTACTACATAACAAAACAAATTATTGAATTTCATAACAAGGTTATCCGGTCATGTGCATAATGGCCCAGTTTGTTTATTCTTATGTTATTTTTGTACTGACAGGAGGAAAGCAAGTCTCGAGTTGGAGTAAGTCTGGAGTAATAAACATTTGTGTCGGCCTCCACAGACATGCAAAAGCATTTTTTATTCGTCTTGAGCTACTTGGGTCAACTTGAGTTGTTTTTTACCTTTAGGCCCTGTCCACACGTAGCCGGGGATCTGCCAAAACGTAGATATTTTTCTACGTTTTGGCCTGTCATCCACACGAAAACGGAGTTTTTTCACATGAAAACGGATCTTTTTAAAAACTCCGGCCAAAGTGAAGATCTGCGTTTTCTCCGTTTTGGGTGTCTGCGTGTGGACAGACAAAACCAGTGTTTTAAGGTCCGCAACGTCACTTTCAGCGACAAAAAAATGCTGACATCACGTGTGCAACCTGTGTTTACACTAGCCGACAGCATGGATGCCCTCAGAGCTGCGCTCGCTTTATCAATTGTCCAAGCGCTTTTTGCTTGTTTGGTTTTGCAAGCAGAATTACTGCTCCTTGCGGAAGACCACAGATGAAGGACGAGGTTACGAACGGGGGAAGTACTGCCGTCTACAGGTCTGGCATGTCCTTAACAACGTATTTATCCGGGTACGTGTGGACAGTTTTTTTTCAAAACGCGGTGGTGTGGATGCAAGTTTTTGGAGGGGCGGATATTCGTTTAAAAAAAAAAACGGCTATGTGTGGATTAGGCCTTAGTTTCAAGACCCCAGAGTGGTGTTCTTTTTCATGACAGTGTAACAAAGCGAGGCCCTGCCACAGATCAGAAGAAGGTCTAAACTCTGAAGCATTAGCGTACAAAAAAGGGGGCCCTAACTTCATATCACATAGGCCCCCAAAAAGCTAGAAACGGCCCTGGTTTTAAGTCATGTATATGTTTTGTTTGCTCGGGCTGACACTGAAGACAAAATACATTTTAATTTCATAAATCCAATTTGAAGGCTATACATTTCCATGGATCTATTTTAGCACAAAACACACATCTGAATCAGTAAAACATGTTTTCTGTGCTGCTTTGTTTTACAGATAGAATTGAAAATAACAGACCTAACTTGCACCTTATTTTTTCTGGTATTTTGTAGCTTTAATAAATTACTGCACAAATATTTCCATTAATAGAAATAATTTCCACATGTGCTTGTGCATGCAAGATTCTGCAATTTAATCATCAGAAGCGATGACCCAAGCAAAGGGTGGTGTTTAGAGCAGCGGTCTAGCTGCTGATGTCACTGAACTACTGATAGAGACAGATAAGAACACCAGCTTCTGTAAAACAAATAGATGATTTAACAGTCAGATGAGCCTAAAGCATCATCAACACCCTATAAAACCGTGTACCTCGTCTTTGAGTGAAGTGTTGATGTAAAGTCTCTCCAGCTCTGAGATCCGTGGATGAGTGTTTGGACTGTCAAAGACGAGAAAAGCCCACAGGACAAACCACACCAAACCAACAGCACCTGGACACACAAACACACACCTGTTTAACCTAAAATAAAGGCGTTCTCACACAGTCGAGACATGTGACTTTTATAGGTTATGATGCTCAGAGATGGGGCAAAGTTTAAGCAGCTGTTTAGTCAGACCAAAGTAAATAAAGGAGATCTGGTGACACGGTTTTATCTGTGCGCACATTTTTCTTCTGCAACCTGCTAAATCATTGTTTCCACTGAGCAAAGAGGAACTAAAGTGCAGAATCAAGAATCAGCTGAATGTGGAAAAAGACCACTGCTGAGTAGGAAGATGAGAAACACTTCGAACTTTCATCACGGACACACTTTCATAAAATAAGTTTAACATATGATGATGATGATGATGCTCACGGATTCCTAAAAGGCATTCTTTAGGAACATGACGAAACAGCTTTTACAACTCTTCAGACCAACTTAGGTGATTGAGGAGTGGATTTATCCCAAACTGCAGAAACTCCACAAATGTTACCAAATATGTAGAAGATGTAGGTCCAGTCCAGGTAGAAGCAGATTTCCCCAGACAGAGGGAGAGCTATGACCGTCCCCAGCTGGGCTCCTGAGAAGAAAAAACACAAAATCAAACAACTGATTAATGAATTAGAGGCCGACGAGACTTGAACATTTTTCATTCCGATTGTTGGGTTAATAAGTTACACAAAGCTTAGCATAATCCCTTTACCTAGCGCTGTGATTATCTGTTAACCTCAAATAAACAGCTCAGTTTCTAGTATTTACCCATGAGCTGTTTGAGATAAAATAATGTGGTAAAATTCCATTTAGAGAGCTGATGTAAAGGTCTTATTCGAACACAAAAATATAATTTTGCTTGCAATGATTTAGGTATGTACAGCCCCTATTGCCATGGAAAACACACACTGTTGCTTAAAATCAATAAATGAATGCTTTTGGGGTTGGTTTATTACCTATTTATTACCAAAATAACGAAGTTTTATGTCAACTTACCAATGTATGAAATGGTGAGCAGACGGCTCCTCTCCAGTGGAGGGGCCCACGCCGCCCACATGGTGTACATTGCTGGAAAAGTGACACCCTGAATACAAACAGCAAGAAAACTATTAGAAGGACAAGGTGATTATGACACTTAATAGTATCACTCACATCCTGATCACATACCTCTCCAATTCCTTCCATTACTCTCACAGCAATGAGATACCCTGAACCCAGATCAGCAGCCACAGGGGTAAGCAGCGTGAAAATTACAGTTAGCAGAATTCCAAAACCCATCAGCCACTTGGGTCCAAAGCGTCCGGCCAGGTAGCCACCGGGGATCTGCGTGAGGATGTAGCCGTAGAAAAAGGATCCCAGGATCCAGCCCTGAGTCTTGGTGTTCCAGTTGTACACACTGGCCTGCAAAAGGACAAACTCAAATAGTACCCTTGAAATTGGTTGGTTTAAGATCATTTGGATCCCCCCAGCAGCAGACGGCTGTATGATCTCTCACCGTGTTGTTGTGTTTGGGTTGTGAAGGGTCATAATGAATGGGACACACTGTGCCACTGTGGTTTGCACTGGACTGGTGGGTGCTGTTGAGCATTTCCACCATTGCCACGCTAAGGTTCACCCTCAAGGAGTAGACCACAAAGAAGCCGTAGCTAGAGAGCAGCGCCAGGCCATAGCGCGAGGAACCACACACAGGGGCTGAGAAAATTAGTTCACATGTTAGAAAATAACTGCTTTAGACTGCAAATACCAAATACTCTCAAACAGGAAATGTATGGACGATTGTTATTTTAGACCAAAAATGAATAAGAAACACAATTGTTTCAGATTATTGTTGTAAAACTCCACAATTATCCCAAGCTTCCATTGAAAAACACAAGTATTTGTTTCAATGCTGTATATTATTATTATTATATCAGGTTTAACAGCTAGATACAAGTCTGTCTGCCTGCTCACCCACTCACTGCTCACTACTATGGAAAATACCATCTTCCTCTGTTTTATAGTAACAATTCTAAAGCTAAATGTAGAGTTTAAGTGAATAAGTCAAATAAAACGGTCTTAACCAGGTTAGCGTCTCTGCAACTTGTGCAAAAAGCTTTATTTATTTTTGCTGTGTTGTTATCGTGCATGCATGTATAATGAAACACCCCACACCTGCTCAGGTAAACCTGTTTCAAGGCGGATGTTCTCAAACTCGTGACCGACACTAATACACACGACAGATTAGCAAAAACTGCGGGGATTTTATTAATAGGTGTGTGCAACTCAAAAAATACAACAAACCTACAACAGGAGTATGTTTAAAATGAGAATAAAGGGAGTTGGTACTACATAAATGCTAATGAAGCAAGAACATGTTAAATTGTTCAGAAAATTAGATATGTAAATTGTGTTTTTATGTTAATTTGCCGGTTAAACAGTGCAGCGTCTGAAACATATGTTAGCAGATCCTATTGTTAGCCGGTTAGCTAGGACTTTCCTCTCACCTTTGCGGACTTTGTCTTCGTGTTCTCGAAGCAGCGGCTTCTGCTGCTCATCCTTCTCCGTGTCAGAGCCGTAACAGTCCATTCCCTTTATTTTTGTGCGGAAAGTTACTATAAAGCGTTTAAAACATCACAAACACCCAACCAACCGCACGAAACGGTTGCACATCACTGAGTGAAGTCTGAATCAGCTGAACGCGAGACACCAACAATCCAGTCACGTGACTAGGCCATAGACATGTGTATAAAACTAGATGGCGAAGGCGGGAGTCGAGGGCGTGCTAAACGGCGGTCATCTTACCTCAGACAACAGACCCTTCCGCTCTCAATGGTGAGGATCAGCTTAAACAAAAACACCCAGAACTCAATGAAATATTAACGGTTTGCCTTATTGCAAACCGTAGAACACATGGGCTTGAGACAACATACTTGCACATGTTGAAAGTAACGCTTTTGCTTTTTAAAGTGGCTTAAATGTGAACCATGTGTCCCACCTATTGCATGTTATTCAGGTTGAGACCACAATCGATATTTTATGTGGTTCTACAAAACCAATAACGATTTTACGACAGCCCAAGTTGTGTAACAAAGTTGACTTTTTACCTCAGTGGGAGCCGCTCGTTTTATTGTAAATGAATTAATGCTAAATTGCTCGTGATGTTTAAGCATCTTGGTTTGTTACACAACACATTTACTGAGATATATTAAAACAGGACATTTCTGGATTTATGTTTGCAGAAACACACCTTTATTAATTGTGAAGCTTGAGGGTCAACATGCCAGACTTTCGTGCATTCTACGGATGCTCGAATCGCCGCTGTGACAAATCGAGACTACAGGATCACCTTTCATCTGTAACTGTTGCAAAGAAAACCGACTACACTTGTACATTATTCAGTCTGTTAATTGTTTTTATGTAAATGAAACAATTAGAAACAGTTGTTCCATTGCTGCTGCTACTTTCTTCTATGCATTGTTTATCTGGCTTAGTGAATGTTAAAAATCTTCACAAGATCAATCCATTGTCCATCTGTCTTATTTATTACTGTAATCCATCTTATTTCTTAACCTAATCTATCTTTTGATTATTTCCTAACTTTTTCAGAAAGCATTTCCAAACGGCTTATAACTAATAAATAAAAGTCAATAAATAAGAAAACAAATGTTAAGAAATAGTGAAAATGCAAAATAATTTGCTGGATGAAATTTTATTGCTGGCAGGCCGGTTCTGGCTGACAGATATGATTTGAGTGTTGGTTGTCTTATTTGTTGGGGTGCACATTTTGTATCTGCGTTCTGTTAATGTGGGATTCACCTCAAAAGAACCTTGAAATCTCATCTCTACACAATATAGAATATATATATATATATATATATATATATATATATATATATATATATATGTATATATATATATATATATATATATATATATATATATATGTATATATATATATATATATATATATATATATATATATATATATATATATATATATATATGTATATATATATATATATATATATATATATATATATATATATATATATATATATAGATAGATAGATAGATAGATAGATAGATAGATAGATAGATCTATAATAGGCAATGCATACTTTAAGTTACTGTGGCTTACAATTAAATGTGTAATATATGAAAGATTAAATGCTTTGTGGAGTGAAATAACGGTAATTTCTGGGCCAAACCCATCTTATTTCACAGACACATCTCTGGCGTTTATAACAAATCAAACCTTTTGAAAATTGAGCAAGTTAGAGTTATTTAAATAGTACATGCACCATACACGCCAGTATAAAGAAAGGGGGCAGCTGTCTGAGGAAAGATGGCCGCCACGTTCCTACGTTGCATCCCATTGGCGAACAGCGGGACGAGGCATCTAGTATTTATATGCATATCTACGGATTTTGCCCTAAGCTTTAACTTCAGGTAACGTTTTAAAATTGATTATGTACTTTGAAAAAAAAAACCTTTAAAACTTTTAGTCTTAGATTATTAAAAAATAAATAAAAAAAGCGTGTTTTCCTGAAAGTTTCTTGCAAGATGAAAGGAGAATCTTATCTGCGGCCGATAAACATTAGCACCATCTAGTGGTCAAAATGTTTAAAGCTGATAATAATACAATAAATAGATTTTTCATGTTTTCAATGCAAATAAATAGCAGTAAAAATATGAAAGAACACCAAAGCTTTGTTGGTTGTTTTCTTTGCAGCTATGTAACAGATCTTAGTTTGTATAACAAGGTCATTGTGAACTTTATTATCCCTCCAAGAGAAATTCAAGTGACCCAATGTAACACATCTCATACGAACATAAAAGTAACATAAATTATAGGACAAACAACTGACATATTACAGTACATATATAGAAAAATACAGTAATGTATTAAAAAACATTTTTCACAGCATGAAAACTGGAAAATTATGATCTTTGTAGACAAAAACAATCAAGATGTCATGGCCCGAGGTATTTTACTGCATCTAAGTCATTGCTCAGTCTGCAGGTAGGTGGTCCTGGGGAGCGGCACCAGCTGTTGTGTCGGCTGGTATTTAAGGAGCAGTGAGATGTCATCAACTCGTCGAATGATTAACTCACTTTGAGTATTCAGCGACCAGCTCTCGAGCCAAATTCTAGTATCTCTACCTGTAATCTCTTGTGTATTTTCGAGCCCCCCGTTTACCGTTTCTACTACTCTCCAGATCTACACCAACACCACCTCGCCTGCCAGAGACTTAGAACAACAACCTCTTCAGCGTCTGCTCTCCACACCAGCCGACCCTGACTCTCACCCCTCTTCAGGACCAGTAGCCATTCCTTCTCCCAGTAAGACTGTTCCCCTTAAAAACCCACTATTCCTCTCCACAGCCACCTCTCACTCACTTGTGTTTTGTTTTCTCTCAGACCCAGACTCCCGTCCCGTCGAGCCCTTCCAGACTTCGCGCATCGGCAAATACCAATTAATAAAAACTTTATTTATTCTTACCTTCTTGTCCCGCCTTTGATTCTGCATGTCTTGGGTTAGCCGTTTAAACCAGAACATGACACAAGACTGATTTCTATTTCTAGACCTGTTCCCAGTTTGATGGCCAAACATACATTGGGTATACAAAATATTCAAATACAAACAGGATGTTGGATTTTCTTCTCAGACCTCAAAATCATAGCTACTCAAGTAGTCTCTATCTCATCAGTGCAACAGAGCTGAGGCATGGTTTTGTCACAACCAAATCTAAACGTTACCTTTTGATTCGGTAAAGTGGACCTAGAATTTAAAACCACATTCTTCTTGGTGTTGCTGAATATCAGCAGCTTGGGGTGTGTACCCTGCTGAAGAAAACAGCATCTGTTGTGTTTTGGTGTTTGGTTTGGCTGGTGGGATGGGATTCTGGTCCAGCATCATACATCATACAACATATGCTAGTACAGTTTTTCTCTGTTGCTTTGGTGCATTTCTCACAACAGAATTAAACTTTGCACAACAGTTAGTTCAGCCTCCACAACACGTGGTCGTTTTGGCACAACCTAATGGCGTTTTTATGCCTTTGGACATGAAGCAGTTGAGTAAGTACAAATATCTAAAGAATGGTCACTTTTGACTTGCTATTCATCACTATCTCCTTGCTTTTATCATGAATGTCACAATTATTTATACTTGTACCGGCTGAATAGTCATTGTCCTTACAACTAATAGGCTTGATTTCATTGCTCGTGTCATTGCACTCAAAATTGTTGAACATCTTGTCTAACAATTTGTACACCCATTTTGAAAACCCCATTTTTAAGGAGTTTCCATGGAAATCTCCATGAATTACTTTTCTCAGGTGAACCTTATCTCACACTAATGAAATTGGTGTGTGTCCTGGTGACAATCGGACAATGTATGTAGTGGTTTGGGATAATGTTAGCTTCCATCACTCTGCTGTAGTCAGGCAGTGGTTTGCAGCACACGACAGGATGCTTATGGAGTTTCTTCCTCCTTACTCTCCATTCCTAAATCCAATTGAGGAGTTTTTCTCTTCCTGGAGGTGGAAGGCATATGACAGGCATCCACATACCCTGGCCCTGCTAGCAGCTGGATGCAGCTTGTGATGACATCACAGCAGAGTCCTGCAGAGGATGGATTCGCCACTCCGGGAGATACTTTCCTCGCTGCATCGCGAGGGATGATATCCGCTGTGATGTAGATGAAAATATGTGGCCAGACAGACAGGAACGTCTGGATGTGCCAGAATGATTTACTGTACCTGTATGTTACAGTACTGTGCAATACTGTATGTACTGTTACATGTACTGTATATTGTTCACATTTGTGCACAGCTCTACCAAAAGGGTGATTTTATGTTTACATGTATTCTACAGTAAACAAGTGACATTTTTCTTTTGCACAATGTTGTAGAATTACAAACACTTCTACTGTATACAGTAAAAATGTAAAACGTACGTATTCAGTGTCTCAGTTACTCCCACAACTCCCATAACATCTACAGTAACTTTACTGCACATTTCAAATGGCTGTACCAGTAGGGCAGTGGTTCCCAAACTTATTTAGCCGCGCACCCCCTTCTATGTCCCGACCATGTCGACGCCCCCCCCGCACCCACATCGGGGCATGGCTCTCTCTCTCTCTATATATATATATATATATATATATATATATATATATATATATCAGATGTCAAGCTAAACAGACAGGGTTAAAAAATTCCCCATCACTTTCATTTTTTAAATAGTAAAGAGCGGGTCAATTGAGCCTCGGAGTCCTTCTCCACCCACGTATCAATTTTAAAAATGCAACATTAGTAGGCGTTGCCTGGAGGACCGAGAGGGCGGAGCCGCGGCAGTGACGAAGACGACGGCTAACTAGACGATGCTAGCTCCCTTCACTCTATGCAGTTATTAGAAATGGAGGACGTTTCTCCCCCTCCTTACCCAGACACTCGAGAAGAAAGGGACCAAGTCTATTTGGAGGAGACAAGCGGACCTGAGCCTTATTGTTGTGAGCTTGTGAGTTGCCTGTAACTCCCAGAACCGACCCAACAGAACCACCTCTGAATGTAAGTAGCCATTAGCCATAGCATCAGATTAGCTGCAGGGTTTGTCTCCACTGCCCTGGAGAGCTAGTATTCAGCATGTTTTAGAGGTTTATCTGCTTCAGCACACCTGGCTTTAATCAGCAACAAATAGCTGAGCTGCTTAACAG